TTCATATGCGTAAACCCCAAGTGCTTTGAAAAAAAAAAAAACGATTTTATTTTAAAGTGTCTAACCTGCTTTTCAGATGACAGTCATTTTGCTGATCGTCGACATTGAACGGTAAAGAACACGTTACAGCAGCTTGCAGATGCAGGTCCGATGATACTGAAAGAGTATTGCATGCATAGGAATTCATTCTTCATCAATATTCTTTCGTTTTGGGACGTAAAATACCCTTGAATGACCAAAATTTCATAATTCTACTAGAAAGAAAAAGTAACTTCAAATTAACCAACTGCTAACGTTCAAAAAGTTTTAAAGCAGACAAGATTTTAATGCTAAGCAATCAAGACCTGGAAGTAATCTTGCTCTATAGAAGAATTAGAGTTTCTAACGCCGAAGTAAGGAAGACGACTTCTGTCTAGAATAATTTGCAGCCAGAAAGGGGAAGGCTTTTTTAAATATTTGACCGTTAAAATTTTTTTTCAACGACATCCTTTTGTACAGCCTTCAGAACCACTGCTAAGCTACGTAGTATTAAGGGAAACAAATTGCAAAATCATGCTCCTGGCTTCACCGCATTAACAGTAGAATAAATGTGAACGAATTTTGTACTTTGTAGAAAAAACACAATTTTTCCGTTCCAAACTTAAATCTTGCCGTGTGATTTGTTTAGCTCTTAGTCATATGACTAACAGGAATGAAAAAAATCTAACTATTCCAAATCCAGGGTTAGAACGTAGCCTTCTGCTGCTTGCTGTAATGGAAAGTCCTTTGCAATCGCAAGGCCTTTAAGAAAAATGCTTAGGTAAGACAAGACGATTAGTGCAAATACTAAACCCACTTATTTTGGAAGCTACATGAACATTCATAAGGGGTGAAAATAAACTCTAATTTATAGGGTTTTCTTTTACTCTGATGTGCCTGTTTACTGTACCAAATTTGCAGTCGCAAAGCTCATAAATTGTTGGAACAAGTGAGCTTAGCTTAAAAATTTAAGGCGAGTCTCCTTCAAATTTTCATTTTTGCCTTCTTAAGGCACTTAAAACCCTTAAGATTCGAATTTTCGTAGCCTACTGCAAACCAAGCACGTTTCACTTATGGGCTCGCAAAACAATTGGCTTTTTATTCAAAGTGGCAATAGTTTTGTACCTCAAAACTTTTCAAAACTTTTTGAAACTTTATTTAGGATTTCATTTAAAATTCAGCCTACTGCACTTATATCGCTTATCGTCTTAGCTGTGTAATGACTGCAGGATCTTTGTAAATCCAAAAAAATATATATATATGTTTCGAAATGTGCATTAAGATTATTATATGAAGGAGATTTGAAAAAATTTGAGAGTTGTAATTTTGGCTTAAACAAAGGTCCAAGCTCTTTGCTCTTTGCCGCGCGGTTGCGCGATTCCCTTCTTTTTCCTTCCAAAGTACCTCCCTCCGTGTTCTCTGACCGTTTACCCCTTCCATATAATATTTTTGCTTTTCTTCTCCATGGGCTTCTCTGACCGCCTCCTCGTCGCGTAAAGTGCATTGTACCTTTGGATATAGCATAATACCTGTAAACATAATAGAAAAATACTTTTATTGAGCAGATAAATTTAATG